TTATAATAACGGGCAGCGGATGGCTCGCAGCTTCCAACTTCAGAACGATCGCAACACTATCGCGTTTGCTCGAAGTTATATCTTTTATTTTTAATTTTTTACTGATACCTTATAGCTTGTTATTGCCTTTGATACGGAGTTTGATATACTCTGCATAATTTACCTGGATCGAGAAAACTGTGGTTACGAGGGAAATGTGAATACAGTTGAATGATGCTATATCTTCCCTTATGGAAGGAATTATTAGAGGGAATTTTGAAAGGGAATTATGGGAGGAAAATTTTAGAAGACAAACCGAGTTAAGTTAGCATTTGGTGAATTAGTAAATAAGTAAACTTGCATAAAAAGCAGATTAAAAATAAAATCATGTATGTACCACGGACGTTAGCTTCTCCTAATGACCTCGGGCGTTTTCTTGCCGCTCGATCATTAAAACCCTTTTAACGCCCCAGGTGCATAAATAACTATAATAAGCTACAATAACCAAGCTAATATTCCGTAATAATCTCGTCAGTTTCCCACTTCTTGTTCAGAACACTAAATACCACAGTTTCAGTTGATATTAACGTGTTATAGAGTTTTTGTTTACTTCTATTCAAACATATGCAAGAATTGTTTTTTAATATCATTAGCATTATAGTAACTGTAATTTTTGGTCTATGCTATCTACGTCGGGAGGATTTTGACCAATTTCCCATCATATACAAAAGTGCTGATATAATCCCTTCTTTTGTTTCTAAGCAACAAATGTAGATTTACTCCCTCTTTCTAAACGTGAATTACAGTTAAATCTTTTAACGCAAACAAAACTGATGGGAACGCGTGGCATACCTATCTTTTCCCCCTTTCAGTGTTATCGCTAAAAAACTACACATATTTTTTCATGTCATCATTTAAAGATTTAAAATTGCATCGAGGAAGAAACATCTGGCTAATATTGGATGTAGTGGACAGGTTCGAAAATAAATTTGAAAATTTTACAATTTACAAAATTTCAGAAATTTTAACGAAAAACAGAAATATTCCTTATTTATAAATGCAGTTTCTTCCATTTGCAAAAAAATCAAGGACGAATTCTCAGGACATTTTCAGAAAATTTTGAAAATAGCACAAGAGCTACATGTAAAGAACTCCCAAAAATTAAAATGGTCTCCGGAGCGGCATATTTACATCTTACTCCTGACGTACTTACCATCATTTTTCACGAAGCTTTTAATCTGAGAGTTATTAATAACAAATCCATCCAGAATCCGTCCTTATTTTCGGGTACCAAAATGCATGTATCTTCTCGCCACCTGTGCCAATCTCAAGCCCCTTTTGAACAACGCTAATGTACTTGAATACTGACGTGTGAAGTTACAGTTAGAAAGAATCTTGAACACGCATTTAAGCATAGAAAATTCGAGATCGTATTCCTGAGATGATTTCAATACTTTCCCCCCTATACTATAGTGTGGGAACATACTGTACTATGTTATAAGGATATATTATAGCGTAGTTGACAACCATCCCTCGCATTCATTACGTCGGTAACTATGCTTTCGCAGCCTGAACTTTCCTGGGAACCCAGCACGGACCTGTGGACGAGCAGCGTGGACGACACGCGGGCCAGCAGCATCCAACCAGGCAGCGCGGGCAGCGGCGAAGAGGTCAGCGTGCACGGCACACCCACGAGCGGCGGCGGAGGCAGGAGCCCAGAAACCTGCACACCCGAGCGCGAACAACCGACGGCCGTTGCGCACTGGCCGAACGCAATAGCGCAGGCGTTCTCCGAGGTAACGACGAAACTGGGTCCTACTTAACCGGAATGAGGATCTTAAAATATGACACGGTTCCACGGATAAAAAATGCCAGAAGTACAAATGAAGAAAATTGATGACAGACAGAGAGGGAAAGAGTGAGAGACAGAGTGACAGACAGGCAGTGAGGGACAGAGTGAGAGTCAGAGAGGGGTGAGAGACAGAGAGGGGGAGAGAGACAGAGAGGGGGAAAGAGACAGAGAAGGGGAGAGAGACAGAGGGGGGAGAGAGGGAGAGAGAGAGAGAGAGCAGTAAGAAGCCTTTCGGTTTCACTACGACCATTTCTCCGTTTACAATCACGTGTTGCAATGAATCTGGCATATCGGACAAATGCGTCCGACGTCGGCCGACCGAAATGTCGGCTCCACTGTGACCGCCGCCGTCCCTCTTGCAGGCCGCGGCGCTGGCCGCAGCTCAGCAGCGGCGCTCGCCCACGCAGCTCCTCAGTCGGGAGAGCAGCCCAGCCGCCCCTGAGAGAGTCGCGTCGCCCAGCACACCGCCCCCGTCGGCCACCAGGTCGGGCGTCCGCTGCCGCTATTCAGCCGAGGGCCTTCAACAGCTCAGCGCCGTGAAGTAACATCCGTTGTGTGCGTCGAAAGCGGAGAAAGTAGCTAAAACCGAAGTCTGGACTAGGGACCGGACGTATATGCACTAATTTTCTATTATATATATTGTGACGTACCTGTGAAGCGGTAGTTTTCACGACAGTTAATTTTAAGGGGACAGGTGTTTTTCTCGTGAATGGGCCTCTAGGGTTTTGGCATAACATGGAAAGATAATTCCGTTATAGATTTTTAAACAACTAAACGTTTATTGATCATATAATACACATTAGGAACAATATTTACAATCAGTACAACCTTTGTTTTGATACCAAACATGCGGATGAGCTCAAATGTATATGATACCTCGGTCTTCAAAAGTCATCTGTTCCCTCCTGACGTTTCCTCGGGCGGTAGTAGCAACGGCGGCAGCGGCGGCGGCGGCGGCGGCGGCGGCGGCAGGCTTCGGCTCACTTCGGAGCCCGTCGGAGATTCGCGCTCCCTCGGCGACCGGCCTCTCCAGCTCTACGCGACGGTTGATGACTTCGCCAGGGCTCCGTCCCAGCCGTTATGAAGTGCTTCACATGGTGTAAAGATCATGTTGGCCTGACCCCTTGCGGGGTCTCTTCGAACGGTGGGCGTTTTTGGCGTGTTTTTGTTGTGGGGTTTTCGACTCCTCTCCCCCGTACAGGACGGGGACCGGGAGTCTGGGTTGTTTGTGGAGGTGTTAGTTTTCTGTGGAGAGAAGGGTTATTTTATTAGGGTTGTGGATGACGGGGGATGGAAGGGGGAGGACTGGGATGGGATGGGGTGGGGAGGGGTGGGGGAAGAGATTGGCAAGGGTTTCGCTAAAGGAGGCGGCGGAGTTGTATTTTGTTGTGGACGGCGTATACAGCGTGTCAGTTATTCTGTCGGTTCGTTGTCAGTCGGTTATGTATTTCGTGGATCGTTAATGTCCTCTGGCTTAGGTTATAGGAGGGGGAAGTTTGAGGATGTCCAAGGGGTGTTTTTTCCGGGTGTGTCGTGGTGGGTTTCTGGGGATGTGGTAATGGGGAAGGATTAGGTTTCGGAATAGGTGATTGTTGATATATTTTTGGATTTGGGCTATTGAGGAGTTGTGGAGGTATGTGAGGATATGGGGGATTATGTTTTGGAGTCGTATGGAGTTGTAAATGGTGTACATGGGTGGGCGGAAGATGAGGCGGATGTTGTGGTTTTCCACGCGGGTTAGTTTGATGCGATTGGTGTGGGATGTAGCAAACCGGGTGGAATGGGCGTATGTTAGGATGGGACGGATATAGGAGTTGTAGGTTTGAATTTTTCTCTTGATGGGTATGTGGGGATTGGTGAGGATAGGGTGTAGGGTGTTGGTGATCCTGGTTGCTTTTACGGTGATTTGTGAATGTGATGGGACCAAAGGAGTCTGCAAGATTACACAAAGACAGGGGAACGATCGACGAAAGTTCGATGTCCGTCGGGTTTTCCTGTTCTTTTCGGTTATCCTCCTCAGCTTTGCAATAAATCCGTTCGGCACTGTTCACTACTATGCGCATATTTAAGCCCGGGGTCACTACACTAACCATTAACGGCTAAGTAATTTACTAGTTTCATTGATCTGTCTCAGTTTTGGTACTTAATCTTAATTTAAAAAAAACATCCAACTTTCTATGAGTCATTAATACACTTGGTTTTACCCTCCCCGAACCTCATTTACACCATACTGCACTGATTAATTACCGCTTGTTATTCGGGAGCATCGCAACCCGTCCGTTCGCTTCCGATCGTTTTCTCGCGCTGCCTAACCGTTGCCCGCCTCACCGGTTCCCCCGATTTTTCCGTTGGCGGCGGCGGCGGCGTTACTGCGCTGATCAAGATGTATTTTGTTTTAATTCAGAATGTATCGCTTTTAGTATTTCCTAATACAGAAACGCTCTTCGTTTCAATACATATGAAATATGAATGCATTTATACAATAAAAACTTCAAGCATACACTAAAATATGCCTTAAAAATAAATGATATTAACTCGTCATAACACTGTCTCATAATATTTATGCACAATATATTTAACCGTCACTTAACTCGTACTAGCTCAATGAAATTATAAAGAATAGTATTAGTTAGTTTCCATAATTATATCGAATTTCTTTATAAGTAATGAAATATGGTAGTAGTATTGATAATAATAATAATAATAATAATAATAATAATAATAATAATAATAATAATAATAATAATAATTGATGAAGTTAAAATTCCAGTTAAATGCTTGTAGTGAACGAATTTTTCTTCGACTTTTATTTAATATTACTTGCGCAAAGGAAATGCATTGAGAATCCTGAAACAATACAAAGTTCTTAATAATTTGTTGTAGTTGACTGCCGTATGCCGAATAGGGACGCTGGAATCCTTGTGGAAACTTCCCTTACATCACCCTATTCCTCTTTGAGTCGTTCGTTCAAGTATGACGGGATATATTCATATGTAAAATGCATATAAATCTTGACTTTGACTGTTAAACATGCGTTCTTTAGTTAATGTAGACATCGAAAACGCCACTATCATCGGCGTTTTTGTGGGCGTGTCTCCTGGCATATGGAAGCCGCGAGTAATCCTCCTGTGTTTAACTGTGACCTGAGCAGTTCGTGGGTGTGTTCAGGATGTCCACGCCGGTGAGCACGCCCCGCCCGCAGTCGCTGCCCGCTGTTCCGCCCCGCTCCGCGCCCCCCGCCCCTGCCGCCGGCCTCGGCGTCGGTCCTTCCGCACCCGCCGCAGGCCGGCCCCGCCCACGCTTGCACCCGCCCCGCTCCCACCCCCACCATCGTCCCCGACCCCATCGCCACGGGAATTCTCGGTGAGTGAGATTGTGAGTAATAAATCCGAGGTTTGTCAACTACTGAGGTCACTTAGTCCGTAGGACTTCATTCTCGATGCAGACTTAACAAAAACATAACGAAGCCGCAAAATCTACAAATGAGTTATTAAGTGGGGGACCGCGCGCGATATTTCCTACCTCTGCCTTTCCTATCCTCACCCCTTACTTTCACTAACACGCATTACACTAACTCACATGCTGGGAGATCGGTCTAGAGCTTGTCCCGGCTGGGGCGGTGCCTCGCTGGTGGGAGACACCTGGTTGGGAAAAACTCCGTTAGCCGACGGTAGGTCGGATGTTGCTATACAGCGGGGCCACCATCTTGCTGTACACCGGCATCTCGCGAGGAAAAACACGCACGACCTGAGTAGTTGACGCGTAGGGCACCACTAACAATGAATCAATCAAGCTAACCAGTGCCAATCTGAGCTGATTGCTGTTGTGGGCAGTTGTCGGCGCCAGCTGGGCCACGCGGCAGCCGCGCGGACGCCGTCGAGAGCTCCGCCGCCGCGCGGGGCGAGTGGTGGGCGGCGCCGGCGGCGTTGGGCGCACATCGTCGCTCCGCCACCGCCGTCGCCTACTTGGCCAGCCAGCGATCAGGTAACATTGCACAAACCGTTGAACAGGATGTCTAGGAATAAAGGTTGCAAATGTGTAGTTCATGTACAGGATCGAAGATGATAACTTCCTGCCAATGTTCATGTGTAGAATAGCGATATTACATGTGTGACATTTGTTCCTGGTTGGATGGCAACCCATGTTACACTGATGTCTGGAAGGTATCCGAAATCTCTTTGCGTCTGAACGTGTAACTGCCGTACATCAGTGCACAGAAAGACTTAAACCATAGCGATTATCCCTACCAAGTAGTCAGTCTACTCTTAAATATTCATAGTTATGCTGTTTTTTAATATACTTTACATTATTTAGGATGCCAGTGTTTCTTATTGGCACTCCTTAAATTTTAAAAAAATATTGACTTTTTTTTTCTTCCATTTAAAAGCATGTGTGAATACAGATTGTATCAGGACCGTTGGAAATATACATTGAAACCAGAACTAATACATTAAAATAAGTTTACTTAGATTTTGAGACTTTGCTCTCGTAATAATGTAGTGAACCACAAAAAAATATAAGGTCAGAGTCGCGGCTCAGGCCAGAGTCGTGTGTCGTAGCCTTCGAGCCGGGCGCTTCGGACGACGAGGCGGAGCGGGAGGGCGCGGCAAAGGCGGAGGCCGCTCTGCCCTCGCAACTGGCGCACGTCGCCGGTCGCGCGCGCGGCCGCGGCCGCAGCCGCGCCCGCTCCCACGCTCCTGACGCCGACCGCGCCCTCGCCGCCGAGCCGGACCACTGCCCCAAGCCGCAAGCGCCCCGCGGGGCGGCGCTCGGGGAGGGCGACCGGGCAGGGCCGGGGGCGGGGATGGGCAGCCCCGTTGGCCCCAGGCCTGCGCCGCCGCCAACCGCGCCTCGCGGCTTCTCTCCGCGCTGCCGGCGGCCGCAGTCCGCGCTGCTCTTCCTCGAAAGCGCCCCGAAAGTACGAGTTCTTTCTTCGTGTTCGTGCACATTATGCCGATATAGAGCTAATAACGGACTCGGTTGAAGTTTATCAACAGTGGTGATAGCCGAGGCCTATAACCAAGTCAGTTATTTTAGATACCCGTCGTGTGTTGTTCAATAGATGTCGTAATGCCACCTTCTTATCAGAAAAAACAACATATAAATAAGATTTTTTTCGTGGAGTTGGTAGATATGCCATGTTCAGCTACAACTCCTTTGTTTCGATTGTTCACAACGGAAACCAAACCATTAAAATACATAACGGACGCAGGCCGTTAAGGGCGGCGTTTCGTTCTCTATATGGTTACATTCGGTACAATGGTATAAGTTTTAATAAACAAGATGGAGCAATCCATGTATCCACGCACCAAGATATGCCTTCAGATGCCCTGATGCACAAACTTTAGAGAGTGGAGAAAGTGGAATGTAGAGATGGCGGTTGAAGACAACCGAGCGCCTGGCTGACCAACAGATTATACCATCCTGGAAATTTGGCAAAAGCACTACACGAACCCCTTTGCTCGGAACAATGTCCATAAACGCAACGCCCGTCTCAGAAAGTAACCGTTGTGCCATACTCTCACAGCAGGCAAATGACCTCGGTTTTATCTATTGACATAAGAATTCAGAAACTTTTGCTTGGATTGACCCCATTCACAAAAATGATTTGCTTAATACACCCTCTTGCCTTCTTTTTATAATACACAGCATACAAAATAATAATAATAGTAATAATAATAATAATAATAATAATAATAATAATAATAATAATAATAATAATAATAACACAAATATGTATACACTAATATCTTTGTACCAATTAGACAAAGAATACGAATCAAAGATTTGAAAAAAATAGTTTATTAGGTTTATATTTTATTATTTTTTGTATTATTATAATTTAAAATTTTTAGAAATGAAAACAAGTATTTAGACGTTTTCAACTATATATTGCAATCAATAGGATCCTGATTACTCCGATCTGTTGCCGGTGCTTATTCGGCTATCACTCCCTCAATAGTTCCCTTGATCACCATCGACCCCGTTTAAAATTTCATCGACTCCCAGGGGGGTCGATGCCCAATGTATCAACTAGGTCTACGCTCTGCAAAAAATATCGAAATAATTACACGGTTCCATTACGTTGTGCCTGGCACGCGCGGCGGCAGGAGCCCGCTGAGGAGAGGCGCGCCGCCAGCGTGCCCGACTACGCCCCGCCCCAGCCACCGTCCCCCGCCGCCCTCTGGCGGCAGAGCGGCGGGGCCGCCGCGCGCCACGCCCGCTCCTCCACGCCGTCACGCCCGCCGCCGCCGCCGCCGCCCGGGCCCGACGACGCGGCGTGGAAAGCGCGGAAGAAGGTTTGTGCAGGCGCACGATTCCACAAGCGACTCCACCCCCACGCACACACACACCTACACTCATCTATGTTTGAATTACAGTCGCCAAGGAATGAATGAATCAATTAAATGAATTGATTTTTACCACTTTGTAAATATCATTTGCTGTATTTCCTAGATACATTTACAAGCTGTATACAAGTGACCCCTGACTGCCCTGAAGAAGCCTGCGACATGTAAGGCGAAACGTCGGTATCCCAGTCAACGTCGCGGTGTCTCCTGGATAGCCGAGAATTTATGGATTCGAGCCGCGGAAGCATACGTGTACATATTATACAGTTCCCTGTCTCTCTAACATCCTAATCCTTTCACTTTGTCCCCTAGTATCTCCCTCGCTTTATCCTGTACATTCCACCTTTCGTACATTCTTCCTTCCACAAACAGCCGTCTCACTAACATGTGTTCCCAGTCTTCCTCTACCATCTTACACATTCTATGTTTTCCCCCTTTCTGTTCAGCGAATATATACTCGCTCCAGTTTAATTTCGTAATCTATATTTTGCAATCCTTCTTGTTTCTTTCCTTACATTTACCTTTTAAATAATTTGGAATATCATCCATCGCCAGGGAAATCGATAGTCATATTTTATCCATACGTTCCGTTGTTCCCTGACTAAGATGAGGACGGTAATAAGCGGATAAATTGATTTTATGGGACGTAGAGGAAGTGCTCTCTTTTAACGCTTTCTCCGCGTCTCCATTCCGCTCCACCTCCTTCAACGAGTTACAGAGTTGGTGCACGGGTGCAAAAGCGATTGGGGTTATCGCCCAATTATTATTACATCATTGATGGCTTTGGCGTGATGCACGATAAGATTTTTGTAAGGTGTCTTAGATCCCCTCCAATTGTCACTACTCCAACAGTCAAAAACATGTTTTTTTTGTAATTTTAATGTGTTATATTAAAGTCCGCGATTTAGTCAGAATTTTTAAACCCATTTACCCCGGTCGCGCTTCTTTGCACTGATCACGCGCGGCATTCGTATGTTAATTTATTCGACACAAAATCTACATTACATACACTCATTACACTTGCACGTTCACTCTTCGGGAACTGAACTCAAAGTATTGACAAACGTGCGTTTCCGCAGGTGGACGCGACGCGCGAGGGCAAGGCGGCAACGGATGACTTGGAACGGCGAGTGCTGGGCGTTCGTTCGCCCCCGGACCTGCCCCCGCCCCCGCTCTTGACCCCGCGCCAAGCACCGCCGCCGACAAGGCGCCTGCCACTGCTTCCGTCTCTTGACGGAACCACAGGCAGCACTCGCAGGTATTCGCAATCGACTGATTGTTTCGTGTCTCCTGGCGCGTCAACTGTTATGGTCTTGCGACCCGTAAGTGTAGTGCATGTTTTTATCACATGAGGTGGCGGTGTTCATCCACCGCTGGATGGTGAGATGCGGCGCCACCCTACGTGTCGGCTTAAGCACATTTCCCCAACCAGGTATCTTCCGCGGGCGGGCACTGCCTCGGCCAGAACAAGTTCTAAGCTCCCGACTGGTCTCCCGGCATTATGTTGTAGTATAGTGTTTGTGTGCGTTTGTGTGTGTACGTGAGTGTAAGTAAAGGGTGAGAATAGCACAAGGTAGATACGTGCGCCATTTGTTAGGTTACTGCTCCACCATTTGCCTGTTGTTCATCGGAGAAACAACGGAAAACTACCGACCACAGCAGCCGGCCTCTAGAATTCTCCTCCATACATTGGCTGAATTCGATGTAGCTATCTAGCCAGTGTCGAAAATCTTGCTACTGTTGGGGCTCAACCGTAGGACCTGCCGGTCAGAACGCACTGGAGTGACATCGCTCAACGTAAATGTTGCCGAAGGTGCCGATCGCTGGACTCGCGGGAGCGCCTGCTCGCGCCGCACGGGCCGGCCGCGGCTGAGCTGTCCCTCGCCGCTCGCCCCTGCACGGCCCCCGGCCGCGGCACCGGCCCCCGCACCGACGCCGCCTCCGCCCCCGCCCGCCCGCGCTTCCCGTGGCGCGGCGCCCTCGCCCCTCGGCGCGACGACGCGCCGAACGCCCACCCCGCGCCGCGCACGCCGCCCCGCGCGCCCAGGGCCTGTCCGGTAGGAGTGGGCGATGCGATATTAACCCACCGAAGGGCAAGGCGGAAGCGCAGCTCATAGATGAGTTAAATGAAAGATTGGATAGTTATTATATTATTTTATTGGATTGAATCTTATTGAGGCCCTACGTGTGATTTTGAAGAAGAAAGAAAAAGAAGAGAAAAAAATCTGGTGGAAGGTTATTTGTATGTCCTGATCACAAAAGTAGATTCGAAATCATGCCCGTACTTTTCCTTTATTTTACAACGGAAGAACAGAAAATACCCGATGAGTTCTAAGGATAAGATTCCCTTTGATTATTGTAATACAATTTACATCACCAATTCATAATATTACATTTTTTATATCTTTAAATGTTTTTTTTTCCTTTTCTCACCTTACAAATTTTTATAGTAAAAACTGTCTAAGACGGAACCTTTGTAAGACGTAAATCTGCCATCCAGGACAAAAGTATCAGAACGGAACCATTTTATATGTGAAAATGACCTCTATAAGCAGGAAACATGTCCAACACAGGAACTAATTATTACCTGTCTAAAACGGAAATTTATTTTTAAATTTCCAGCATTATCTTTAAAATTGCAAGTGCGAAGGGTCACGTCGTGAGACAATAGAATGAAGGACGAGATTTTCCTCTTATAACTGCTGTCCCTGAACTTTTGGCCATCTCTGTGCTTGTATCGCTGCGTTTTTCTCACGGTGTAATTGGTGTAATTTTCGCGACTTTCTTGCTATCCCTCCGAATCATTATGTTGATCGTCCGCGCCCCGTTCAATTCTCTAAAGCGTTACCACGTTCTACAATGGAATTCTGCGAATTCTATCTTGTCATTCTAACGTAGCGTACTCTACAAATGCTACATTTATTTGTTAAATACGGAATAAATGCTTTCTTATATTTTCCCTGTGTTTTGCTGTTGATACTTTTATTTCATGCAATATTTTAATTGATAAATTATGCTTTATATTAATTTCTGTTTCACTAGCAAAACTATGTCGAAAATACTGTACTTAAGTTAAATGTTGAATTTTTGCCAATCCTCCACAAGACGGAAATTTTTCGAAGAAACCGTCGTGTTCCGTTTCAGACAAGTTTTACTGTATTATGAAAATATCGTTAAGTAATAAAATAACAAACTCGCAATAAGAATAAAACAATACATAAAATTAATAAAAATAACATTAATGTGCTATGCAAATTGTATAGTAAAGAAAATAAGAAGTATATAATTATTTCTTAAAACGTATATAATAATTACTGTGAGTCCCGCGTTCATCCTCAACCAACTCACACAAGTGTGCTCGATCTACAGAGGGTTAAAAGTAATCGATTAATATGTATTCGAATAACATGCGTTGTTTAATCGTACTGAACCAATATATTAATGAAATATTATCGATTAGCTTTTAGTTTGTACGTATGTCAAAACAACCCTAAATAAGTTGAATTACTGAACAATTAATTTAAGGAAACATCTCACAATAATATGAATCTACAGACTTGTTCAATTTAATTTATTTAATTTCGTTTTTGTTTAATTTAATTTTAGTAATTATTTTAGTAATTAACTTTAGTAATCATTAAACAGGATAAAAATTTGTAAAAATATGTGGTTCGTCTACAAATTGTTAATTTTGTACTACATATTTTGCAAATTTTTCTCCTAACAGTTTAATAATATTTCCAAACATTACTGTTGATTTTGGCCTTTTTTAATTAGACCACCACGTTTCGTTTAGTTACCTTATTTAAAATATATATTAATATTACACTATCTACTCACAAGACAAATTAAAGACAAGAATAAAATTTACAGACAATATTTAGAAACCAACCATTAACTATAATCTAATGACGAACCTGGTTAGGAAGAATTCTAGAGGTACTCGTAAATTTAATCTAATTCCTACTCTGCCATAACTAAAATAACATACAGTGACTTGTCACTCTGTCACTTTGGTTAAGAAGGCGTTTATATTTATCTCTATTATTTTTCTGTAGTCAGAGAGAGATAAACAGACGATAGATTCCATTGCTTAAATTTGTCTGTAAAAGGCTATATTTTTTTGTCTCGTAATGTAATATTTGAAGTAAAACAATCGTGCAAAATTATCGAAACAATTAATAGCTGTAAAGATAATATTCATCAATTGTTTGATGAATCGTATGAAATCGCCTGTTGTGCTAACCATCAGTAAAATTGCCCATCTCCAGTGCCCAGTCTTCGCCTCCGCCCCGCTCAGCTCCTACGACGCCTTCATCAGAGAGCACCTCATCGCCCCGCCCACGCCGCCCGCCCGCGCCCCGGGGCCGCACGTCTGCGGCGGGAAGGCCGCCCGGGGCGACGGCGCCAAGTGGGCTTGCCACTGCTCCTCAAGCTTCGACAGACGCTCGCCCATTCCTTTCGCCCTCGGGGGCGCCGCGTGGGACGAGGGCGAAAAATCGGGAAAGGCGCCCTTCGGAGCCGGCCCCCTCCGCAAGGAGCAGCGTTCGCAGGAAGCGGAGGTCTCTCCCTGCAGGGACTCAGACCTGCAGGTAGGCGCTACGCAATACCTGCAGGCCGCGCACCGTGAAGCCCCGTAGCGACGAATGCCACTTACGAGGCTCTCCGCGTGCGCCAAATCTTATTCGAAGTGATCCAACGGATTTAGCGGACGACTTATATCGCATTCAAATCGATCACTCGCTCATTCTAAATCGAATGTGTTCCTAATTCTGGTGCAGAGTGTGAAGTTAACTCTACATTCCCGTGATCCAACATCACGTTGATGGCATTAATCTGTAAATATAATTATATGTACGTAGTACGTTATTAAATAATGCAATAGTTATATTATAATATATTTATTTATACATATCAGTGGCTAATGAGCAGCTCTAGTCGAACAAATGCGAATTAAAAGGATGTAGTATTATGGGAGTTTAGTGAACACTCTACAATTACTACCGCTACAATTAGCAAATTCTTCCATTTCGATCTAAACGTGTGCAGATACGCACTCTAGACTTCACCCGCTATTAGTCTCGAGGTTGCTGACGATTGCTGTTCGCTCTGCCGTGCAAAAGAGACTACGTCTTAGCATGTACTACTTTTGGGCTTCGACACATTCGCACCTCCAGCTGCTCATGCGCAGATGCTCAAAGGTGTTGTATGAAAAGTGACGTCACGTTGTGCAAAAAATATCTAAAAAGTCTCTTTTTGTTTCCTGTATTCCCGGTATGTATTCCGAGATACCGAACCGATAAAACTGTGGTGTCAATAACAAACTGCAATGTTGGTGTCAAATAAACCAGATTACGGACATACGTCATTAATTGATTATTCAAATAGTATTAAGATCCATCCGCCTTCTTACTTCTCATTGCGGCATTTTCACATGGCTGCCACGTGGTTACTACTACACAGAAATAAATTATTATTTCATTAACTTATGAGTAAAATTCAAGGTATTGAGGAGAAATGTGAATTACGCAACTCATTAAAAAATGTAATGAGGAGTATTTGAGTATGAAATAAAAGACATGTATTAATGTAATTGAAAATCATAAATCTATGCCTATATGCCTGGTTACCTGGATACTTGTAATGCAGGATATATCCCGGAAATTAACTGTCCTCGCCCCTTCCACACAGGTCCAGTGAGGCACCGCTCCAACAGGGACTGGTTCTAAACTCTCGACATGTATGGTAGTGAAGTAAGTGTAAATGGGTACAACAGGGGAGGCAGAGGTCAAGGGAGAGGAAGAAAATATGTGGCGTGGTGCGTGGCCGCGGCATTCGCCTAGTGTTGATCGGAGAAACCGTGTACAACTACCGACCAGAGCAGGCGGTCACTAGAATGCTCTTCCAGACAGCGCGCTGCAGCGGTGAATTCGTCGCTAGTGTCGAAAATTCGTCTCCATCGAGACGCGAACCATAGTAACTCCCGGTCAGAGACGCTGCAGTGGCAGCAATTGGTGTCCTGAGTGACTCTCTCATCCGTTCCGAGTTTTCGTGGAACTAGGAGGGTCAGTTCCTTTCTCTGTCTGTGTCTCTCTCTTTGTCAATACCGAATGTATTGCTTCAAGTGTTCCCTTGGTGCAGGCGTGCGCCCCGCCCACGCGGCCAGGCAGCGGCGACGGCAGTGGCGCGGGGCGAGGTTCCAGCCCCGACCCGGGTCAGCGCCTCCGCCTCTCACCGTTCAGACAGATCGCCGAGCTGCCCAAGATAGTCGAGTTCGCCGAGGACAGCAGCTTGGAGTCCACGTCCGTCGACAGCGGGCACACGCACTCGCAGGACGCCAGCGACCAAGGAAAGCCACTCATCATCAGGTACAGGAAGATCGAAAGCAACACGGAGAGCAGCCCTCCCCACAGCTCAGTCGTTTTTCATTTCAACGGCTCCCCATTGGAAGCTGAAGATCGTAACCTAACCCCCGGCACGCTCTCTATAATTTCTTCCGACTCTAAGACGGGAGACGGGAATGATAGTAGAGGAACACAGCCACAGAAATATGTAGTTCCATACATTCAAGAAGTGAAAATGATCATGGAAAATTTAGAATCGATGTTGGAATCGCGCGTGCGAAATGACGTAGCTTTAATCACTTCCAAATCCACCTCCAGCCAAACCGGTCCAGAAATGCTGGTCGAGTGTAGAAGTCGTTTGGAATCTTCTGCCCGAAGGCAGGAACGACGCCCTGAGAGTGCTGAATACGAGGCAGAGGAGACCGGGGAGACTCGGAGAGACGCATCTGACACTTCTCTAGACAACACCATGGGAACATCGGAGTACGGAAGCCTCTCCTCCCAGTCCAAACGAGGGGTTTCTGTTAAGCACAGCCTCTCTTCCTTAACTGGCAAAGCGCGAACGGCAAAGCGCTGTGGACCCCCCCGCTGCCCGATTGGAGAAAAGGTTATCGTCCCATGTTTGGCACATAATCGCATAAAACGTTCTCGCAGTGGAAGTTACATTCACGACGATCATTTTGCATTGAAAATGTTGGTTCCTGAATTTCATGTAGTTCACACAAATTGCAGTTGCCAGAAAAATAGGGATAAATTGTCATAGACAAATGGAAAATAGTTTACCTTTTGGATCCCTTAGACCATGTGTTATTCAATTTAAGTATTTTAATTTTCCTTTTATGGTGTATTTTATGACAATCTTGTCGACCAACTACTTCCTTGTATTCTAAGTGTTTACAATAAAATTTTACTGTATAAAATTGTACTTCCCTTGCTAAAATCAGTGTATTTATTTACATACTCCCTAAAATATATTTAAAGAAAAATTGAAAAAACACCGCCGATGTTGTTTAAAGTATAACACACCTTTTCACTTTCTCATATATTACTTCGTACTAGGAGAAAGTCATATGATACAGCAGGGGGGGGGGAATGCCCATTAGACAACAGTAAAACACATTTTATGGGTCCCCGATATCGAAAATGGACTTTCCTTCCTCATATACCACGGCTACTCGTCAGGCGAATCGAGAGAGCGGAGGCGCCGTACGGAACCCAAGTGTTCCGCCACTGCCGATAACCTCAGACACGGCGAGTCAGTGTCCTGATAATTCCAGTTCGGACACATATACTCTATTCCTTGTCATTTCCAATTATACATTATTGATTTGCAGGGTGACTCTGAATTGAGGGTCAAATTTCAAACGAAAAACTTCTGTTCGAATTTTATAAGAACTTTTTTTCTCGTGTGTATCGAAGGATGGTGAATACAATTGATGCTGGTCCCCTTTGGGTGAACTCTGAGTTTTCGAAAAATTCAAGAAATTAACATTTCAAAAGTACAATATTGAAGACACGGAGTTTTGTCTTAAATGAAATAAGTTTTAAAAAAATGTAAAATTTTTGAAAACTCGAGTAGTTTTCTGGAAGTTTCTGCTATTTATTGCGTTTATTACAATTTATTTTTAAAAAAATTCTCAAAAACGGACCCGAATTCTTTCTTTACATTTTCTCTATGGATAGAGCAAAAACACTTAAGAATTGTTTAGGTATGTTTTTCGCTAAACTCTCAGAATTTTCGGAAATTCAAAAAATAGAAATAATGCGCATTTATAGCACCATTTGTTTAAAAAACAAACCCTTTTGTAAGAATAGAACATAATAGAATTCAAAGGCAGAAAAGTCATTTTTATATAAACATTTGAATTTTCCCAAAAATTAAGTGCTTGTATTTTTTCGAACTTCTTGCTCTGTTTGATTGGACGTTTTTCAATGCCGATAAGATAAATGTTGCAACATTATATTACATAACAATTACCAATAATAAGAGAAAGTATTTGCTCACCACTTGCTTTTTGAACTTTTTTTTATTTAGTTGTATTACGCAGTACGTTATTTAGATATTTATTTTATTTTGGGTTATATTTCTTATAACATCAACTAAAAATAATTCACTTAAGTTAATTTTTATAAATCATGACAAGTCGTCTATGATTCGGTTTACTCAGAAAGATTCATTTTTCTTCTACTAAGCAGTAAAACCATCTCTTTACACACCAGCCTACCTCTTCATTGCAAAGCGACTGCATCATTAAAATCATTTTCCAAAACGAAAAAAAAATCCAAGCCTAATAACTACATCATATGTAGCAAAATTAATAGGGGTTATCTCGATACCTTTCAGCAGATAATTCCTTCAGTCAGTGGAAAGTTGCAGGCAATGGTCCTGGAAGGCAAGATATTCTTTTCTGCTAGAAATGTGAATCAAATAAACATATTCTCCTTTTAACTATTATGTATCGGGACGAACATTAAACTAGTTGATGCTACAAATACATTCTCGCATTATTTTTTTCACAATTTTAGAAGATTGAGAATTCAACGAAAATTATTCCTGCACCATTTTTTAAGCGTCCTTATAAATTGAATTAACTTCAAGCAGTACGTGAAATTAATAGTTATTGGTTGTTTTTTTAAATATTTGTACTTGTTTTAAAGATCTTATTTTTTAGAACAGATTTTAAGACAAAAATGTATTTTCTTAATACTGTACTTTTGCTATGTTAATTGTTTAGAATTTTCGACTTCTCCGAATCGATTTTCGAATACAGAGTTCGTCGAAAAATGAGACTACCACCGATTTTTACCGTCCTTTGATACATACGGCGAGAAAATTTCAAGAACATATTTGGAGCAGTTTTTGAGGAAACCATTATTTCAAAATTACCTATATTTCACGCACAATAATTGAGCGTAATTATTACGCGAAAACTGCTTATATTTTCGAAAAATTGTACATGACTTTATTCAAAGATGTCCTTTAACAACAATTCTTATTAAGAAAAAAATCTCAATCTTAATATTGTAGATATTGACGCCGTAAAAATGTGAACTTTTGCAATTTTCGAATAATCTGGGATTGGATCCACAATGTGTCATTTATAAGGGTTCTTTATCAGTAGAGTATCCTTATGTTATAAGAGCACAAAGTTTAATAAACATTTTTGAAGCAGTTTTTGATAAAATTTTGAAAATGTTGGGGCTTTGCTTAAAGTACCCTCAAAAGTCAAAATATCCATTTCAAACTCTCTGGGCCTCGCGTTCGTTCAGATCATCGGAGCACATTGGTTGAAATCGTGTGCATTGTTTACGCTTAGCGTTGATCACAGATGACTAATCATGTCAATCGATTTTTCGGTATCAATGACCCAAAAAACATGGATTCTGACTACACAACTTGTCCGAGGAAGTAATTTACTATATGTAAGAACAAACTTTATCTACTTCTTTTTTACAACGGTCCGGCAATAAGTTTTTCTGTTGAATTTTCCGACACACAATTATATTACTTTATCTCCTTACGAAGTGAGAAAGTAAAAAGAAATAGTGAAATAGCTAACATTATTAGGCTTATAGACGTCACTATAAAAATTTAAAAACGTAAATCAATTTGTTTGTAAATCCAATACTACTGTATACAAGTATTTTTATTTTGAAGATGATTTACAGAAGTAATTTAATATTCTCATCATATGTCATTCAACATAGAAATTAGCTACCGAATTTTTTAAAATCCGTTTTTAATGAATTGTTCTCATAAATGTCAACTGTGAGTTCATCCATTTTATTGTTGGTAAACAAAAAAATTATAACTTTTAAAGAATTATTTCTTGTCAATTATCTATCTTTCAGTGTAACAATGTATTTAACAAGATGTACTTTGACAAATAAATTGTTGTTTCAATAAAGTTTGTAAATAATTCACCTTTAATTTCTATATTGACATTTACAGAATCATGGAAAGTTTTCATAACCAAAAACTGAAGTTTGTAATTCTAAATATTTCCTTTCTGTATTTAATCACTTTGTGCACCAACCTCATTTAGGAGCAGTGAAAAAAATAAAGTGGATACTTTTTTGTAAGATCAACAAGGTTTAAATGGCAAGTAAATTCTCCAAAATCAAATATTTATTGCATTACATTTCATACAGGCAATATATTTTGCAACATTACAAATTTACAGCACTTCCCATGTCATAGTGCAGAAATTGTGAATGAAAAGAGTAATGTGAGCTGGGAAAAGGTGAACTACATTTCTTCTCTCATTTGAATGTTTATACGCATCACCTTTGTCATGTATAAATTTATTTTCTATTACAATAACAATACTTTGGGCTATTTAAAAAGTCAGTCTTATGCAAATAGTATTCAGAAAGCATTAAAAAGAATGTAATTTTTCATGGTTTGAAAGTGTCTGCATTGCAAGTATTCAATTCTTATAGAAATGTTCATTTTTATTCAAAGGGAGCTAACAATAAAATAACATTAAATAAAAAAGACTTAATTAATCCTTTTTAGTTCTAAAGACAACAGTAATTGGTGTTTAAAATGTACTATTCTCTGTCAAATAAATGTTAATTTAATTTATATATATCATTTTGACAACATTTTGAATATTTTCATATCAAAGATTTGCCTCCTTTGAAGTAATTAGAATACAACATAAAGCTTAATTGAAACATCCCAAGGAAGTTGAAAACATTAATAGTGAAATCTGAAATGAGTATTTAGAAGATAATGGGAAAAATATGGTAAAGATAATGGTAAACCCAAAAAACACAACGTTATTGCTAATGTAATCCAAATCTTTCTGCATTTTTCGTAGAAATGGAAAAAACTTTCATTACTCAACCAAACAGATTTTATTTTCTGGCATATTTGCAGAGTTCTGTATGCAAGTTGAATTTTCATCTCTTAATAATCTACTTAAGCATGGCACACATTTCTTGGGCTTAATTGAGTATAAAAATGAAATTGAGCAAAACTTCTTTACTTCAATGAACTTAAAAATGTAAATCTGATCTATTTCCACACATACTTATTTTTTCTCAGCACTTTGCATTTCTTTTCCCACCTTACATTATATGAAGTCTAAGCAATTAATTATTTAACTTATTCGGTATGTCTTAAAGTACAATTTGAATATATGGGAAATGATAAAATAAATGTTTTCTGTCTGATCTCTTTTTTCGTTTTACAAAAGGAGAATCAGTCGAGGAAAAATCACAAATATTCAGAAAATTATTACAATTAATTGTACAATAAATACAATTATTATTAGCAGAAAGAGATCAATCCATGTTGAGAGTCTTTACAGAAAACGATACAGTGTTACATTTCTTCTCTGCAAGCCATACGACTCACCTTTAATTAAAGGTGACAATATATGTGAAATGAGGATTGAATCTTTTCTGCATTGTGCAAAATCATGCATCCAGAAACTAAATAACCTGTAATATTAATTTTTTGGAGTTGGTCTCTTTCTGCAAAACACTGGTCAAATATTTCAGAGTTAATTATGGAAACAGCTGCATATTTGCAATCTACAATACCAATATCTATCCACGGAATATAAGGACAAAATGCATTGTCCATGTAAAACAATAACATTATTATCTTGTATAATAATGATAAAATTACAAAGAGTAAATTTAAAAATCTCACGACATCATAAAATAATTATAAAACACTTAAGAATATAATACCATTCTTATTTATGTAGGAATGCATGTAAATTGATATGATTGTATGCACATTCTTTATTTGAAACATTTATTATATTAAAATGATCACATGAAACACACAGAATTTGGAAGCCAGTTTATTAATGTATATAATATGAGTTGCAGTCTTTGGCAAAATTACACTTACATCACTTAATCTGGGTAACTGTATTAAATTTTAATTATAACTTGACAAGGGGAATACTTTGTAATACAGCCCAGCCTTTTGAATTCCTTTCAAGACAGTCCATGATGAATATCAACTACTGAAAAGTTTAAACATCACAATACTGTTAATGAATTATTACATTGTAAGGTTAAGATTGAGAGATGGAAAGTGATTTCATAAAATTTACAGCATTCGCACAAAGACAAAAGCAATGTTGATGTACCTATATTCTTTAAGAATTTTATTAATAGAGATGATATAAAAGTTGAGAGAAATCTAGGATCTAACAAACTAGACTACCTAGTAAAGAAACTGTGCAGTTGTTATAAAAATAACAATAATAAAGGAAAAAGATCATTATTAAGTTAAGAAGAAACAACAACATGAAAATAATGCAATGATAAGAAATAAATAGATTCTGCATTATTCAAGACTGGAAGAAAATGTTTTGATACTTGCACTAAAATAAACAAAAACTTACAATTTCATTTGAAAAGATGCAATAGAACTGTGAGACATCATTGCATGACAGCAAGTTTTAAATATATGTAAAGAATTCTTTACCATTCAAATGTTTGATTTACACTTTCACAGCTGAAAAACACAAATTGTACTTTATATCCATAGATATATAATTTTCTTTCAGTTAAAACACCATTACAAAGTAAATTTCGATAGAGAAAGCATTTGACAACGGAAAAGAAAAGTTATGTTAGAGGTACATTCCGATTCTTGTATTTCAGTTGCATGAGTATATAAGTAATGCAGATAACATGGTGTATAGTGCCTTTTGTTAAAGTAGAATCTACAAGATTATCCACAATGCCATTGTGGTTGTGAATAATTGAATTGACATGAATTATTCAAATAGCTAACATATAACGTACATCTAATTCTTCCGATTGACATTCAAAATACAAATTTATTGAAGAAAAAATAAACACAGAACGTATTTCATGTATATTTAATTTCTATTCCAGCAAATGTCTATCAATATTGCGATTTAAGAAACTATCGCCCCATAAAATGTATGTAAAACATCATATTCATTAGAATTTTATTATAGGACACTAGTTAAATGTTATAGGAATCAAACTTGAAGAACAAGAAAATTCAATGCTTTTAGAAATCTTCTCTTATGTATATGCAAATAATGTAATAGAACACTATATGATGAAATACTGCAACACAGCCAATATGAAGTATGAAACTGAAGGTCATTCTTTAAAACTTTCATTTTGTGCTGGTATCACATGATTTAACTTACAGACAGGATCCATTTGGAAAGGGCTTGGTAAATGTAAATATCAAGTGTACAGCAGGTAAAGTTTAGTTCAGTAGGTTTACAATTAGGCCAAGATTTCTGATATCCAATACAGAATAAATGTAAAACTGACATCTTACTAAATGTCACTTTGAAAATACACAATTCCAAAACAGCCAGTCAGACACTGAAAAATGTATGTATATTATTTAAAAAAACACAGATATAAAAAAATATAATCTTCTCCATTGCACTTTGAACTATCTATCACCACCTTCTACAGAACAAACTCTAAGATCTAAATTATTGAGTCTAATTTCATCATAAATTTCCTTTATATCTTTATTTTTAATGTCGGAATGTTTAGTAAAAGACAATTCTGCTAAATCAGGGCAGTATTTTAGAAAGTAACGAAGAGTTGTCAAAGAAACCAAACAGCCTGTAAACATTTGGATGGATTTCAAGTTGGTCAAAGGGTTATTTCGCAAGATTTTTGCCATTACTTCATCCAAAAAACGATAGTCATTTGCTTTAAGAAGCGTTAGATATTCCATCTCCTTTGCATGTGTAAGACACAGAGGTAAAATAACATCTGGGTTCCACTTACTTCCCCAAACATAAAGGCACCGCAAATTACAGAACAATGGTTCAGAATTAAATGAATACTGGCGTTCACACTGTTCATAATCTTGCTGTGGACTAGCAACAACTTCTTTGAGCTGCAAACTTTTAAGGTTGGGACAATTCTCTCCAATGAAACGTACAGAAGTAGCACAAATGGGACTGTTAGTCTGCAGAATTAAAGTAATGAGAGAATTGCCTTTGACTTTCAACAAAGTGAAAAACTCAGGGCTGCATGGAAATTGATACAGTTCAAGGGTTTGGACATTCAAATCACTACTGGTCAACACATCTAAAATTTCTGAAGCTTTCAATCTTTGGTCATAAGCCAAATTAGGCAAATGTAAACAAAGATGTTGTAAATTTTTACAAAGCCTAGAAGCTGCTTTTATATGACTGGATGCAGGATGGTGATCACTAAGATATTGAAGAGGTATGGACTCAACATCATCCATATCTTCAGATAAAATAACACCCATGTCATCATAAGAAATGGCCTGAATGTTAGGTAGAGACTTCACCAATTTTCGAATACCTGCGTCTGTCATCATTCTACCTCCAAAATTACTTCTCAACATTTTATTCATGGTTATTTTCTTTAAATATTTACAGTTGGACAAATAGCTTAGTCCCTTATCAGATATAAAAAACCTTAATTTTAAAGCATTAAATGTCTCACACCGTGCATTAATTTTTACTTGCTCTGGTGCTAATCGTGAAACAATATTAATATCTTCCAATTTAATACATGTATTACCCACAACTTCCAAAATTTCATCAGTGCACATTAGATGTAAATCAAGAGCAATAAGATTATGCAGCCTACTTAAGTGACTTATCCAGAAATTATCATCCACACAAACATTGTGCTTTGTTTCTCCAACAGTAAAAGTTCTCATATTGTTATGCATATACACAGCCAAACTAATGCGACCATCGTGAACTCTACTGCAATGTAATCCAACATTATTATTTCTTTCTTCACAAACTTCATCCAATACTAGACCAGGGATGTTGGATAACAAATACTGCTGAACACACTGGACAGCCTGTTGACATTTATTTGAATCATAATTGCCGTACCTTTCTTCAATGTTTATACATGCTGTATTTACTAGTCCCTCCACTGTCTTGAGAGTAATACAGAAAAGACTCTTAGGTAGTATATGGGGTGGCATTGTTTTATTTTCCTCTTACACTCGAATAGTTGAAGTGTCAAATAATCCGTTTCAGTCCCACATAAATCCACATTTCACATGTTATGGCATTTGACAGAAAACCCTGACAAACACTGGTTTAAAAGCAGAAGATAATCTTACTCATTCTATTTTCCGCATATCTTCCATCGTCCATTATAAGATCTTGACACAACGATACACACTCTTCGAAACACGTAATCGCACAGTTGCCATGCGAAGGCTGGACAGTGAATGAAGGTACTAAATCGATATGCACTTAGCATCAAAAGAAAGGTGTATAGGATACGTAAGTACACACAACCATAAACAACAGAAGTCCGATTAGGTCTGTCATTGATTTCTCGTGACGAAAGTGGTTTACGAACGAATCCAGAATTCCAGATACTTGTGTTGCAACACGTTCTGGGTTGTTTTACGTAGATTTAGTACTTCCTAGATTCTAGACCGTAACAAGCTTAGTAGACCACTCTGTCTGGCGCAACCCGCCCGACCTTCTGCCTTGTGAATCTGTCCGCTTGTATTTAATAGGTAAGGATATTTGTGAGTTTGAGCGCATCGTTTGACATTTTCCTTTATCTCAATTGAGATTCTCCTATCCTCGAATTTTGTAAAACTTTTCGCTTATTAGTTTTTTCTTCCTCGAAACTAGGGCGAGAGTCAAAATTCTTCCGCAGTAGAATTTGTAGGACACATCTATTTAATGACTGTGCATTGATAGGTCACATCAAGAGTCTACGTCATTTCGCTGCACTAAACCAATTCCGCGTTACCTCAACACTACATCTAGTGAAAATGCGCGGTGTATCGAAACTTTTCCCCCTCTTGGGTCTCTTATTTGGTACTCAACTATTGTATTAAAAAAGTGCTTGACATCTTTTAAAACTCTAAAAATACTTTGAGAAAGAAATCCCTGGCTTTAGTATTGGAGAGGTAGGTTCGAAAATAACATTGAACTTCGCAATTTTCAGACTCAAATTGCTCTTAATGAAAATCGAAATTATAATATTTTTATTCATGAACTTCGCCTATTCCATCTAAGAATTAAAGAAAAATTGCAGGCCTTTTACGGAAAATCTTGAAAATGTTACAGGGGTTTCTTGTAAAGAACAGTACCCCCTCCCATCTTATGATTTCCTGAAAGGTAGAACTAGATATTGCTCCTGATGCATTTTTCAAGTTTTAGTTAAAATCTTTCTAATCTGACAGAGATGCCCGACCTCGTGTAAAGTAAGAACATAGACAACCGGATTTTCAATATATATTTAGAACATAATTTTGAAAAGTTCTCACTATTCCGTTCAAAATTACACAACACTTGTCATATTATTCAGAAAATAAACACAAAATTATTTATATATCTCATTTCCAAGAAGTGATTTCATCAAGGAAAATCTCTCTTTAATAATGTAGAAAGACACTGAAAAAAATGTTAAACTTCTCCAATTTTTGAAAATGTTGAGAAATTAACGAAAATCAGATCTGTGCCATTCTTGTATGCATACTTTGCTCTATCAGAAAAAAAAGCAATTCAGAAATTTGGAGAGTTCATGTGCAGTACATAACACAAAAATCAAACATACTAAAAATTAAAATACGAATTTCAAATTCAAAGGACCATGACTTCTGTTACTCCATGGAGAATATTAAAAATTTGTCCAAGGTCATGAAACAATCCAACACACATTAGCAGGCTGTAGTAAATTAGCACCTACTGATTATAAACTGAGGCATGACAACATGGGTCAAATTATCCACCCACCAACTTATCAAGATATATGGCTTCCTGTGGGATAATACACCATTATATCAATTCAAACCATAAACGGTTCTAGAGAATGAGACCTACAAACTATATTGGAACCACAGCATTCTGACAGATAAAACCGTCCTTCACAATAGACCAAATATCACCATATAAAATAAGATAACCAAGAAGATCTAGTTTATAGACTTCACTGTTGTAAACACTAATAACATCATGACAACCTACCAGACGAAGTTGGAAAATATAGAGAACTAGTCCACATAGTAAGGGATGAATGGGCTTTGACACATGCTGAGATTATACCCGTAGTATTGACAGCCTCTGGTATCGTCTCGAATGTCACCATTAAGTGATTGGAGTATCTGAATATCAATAAAAATATAATGATCAACATCCAGAAAGCTGTATCATCAATACATGCTCTGTGGTCATAAAATTCATGGGTGGAGACATGTAGATATTATATTAAGTCTGACCTGGAGAAATACAATTGCGTAATAATCTGTATAATGAATATGTAATGTAATAATATTGTAATCATTTTATATTTATATTTTATGTGGCTGCACCTCCTGGTAAACAAACGCTGACCACACTGCCCGTGTTTCTAGTCAAACACAATGTGGATTTAAAAAAAATTATTTTTGTATTGGAATAATAAGAAGAACGCAAAAAAAATTGATTTAGATTAAATTTATAGATTTATTTAGTCAAAAATTAGTAAAAAATGTATGTGATATATGGGGGAGAAAATCTGTGCATTTTTTCTTGAGTTCCTGAATCCCTTTCCATCATTTTAACTGTAAATAGATGAAAGATGAGTAAAAGTTAAAGAAAGATAAATAAATAAAAAAAATAAATGAACGAGTGAGAGAATGAATGAATGAGTAAATAAATAAATATTACATTTTAATTATAACATTGTAACTAATAATTTAATTTCAACTATAAATAATTGAAAGATCAGTAAAAGCTTTTATAAGACAACAAAGAAAATAAAAATACAATAAAAAAAGCACAAGATTAGCAAGATTTGAAAAACTATACATTTTTGTTCCTGGGTTATTGAGAACTTATTTGCAATGTTGAACAAACTGCAGATTTTATTTTCTGTATTGCTAACAAAATAGTAACTCGCCCTTGCTCCTACCACTACAAGCAAAAGGAGAGTTCAACCAAATGTGTGCATTGTGAAGCTACATTTATATTCAGAAGCAAAAAAAGGGGCTATCTCAACAATTGCTCAATGGATTAGGGAAACTGGACAAAAACCTGATCAAGATGGGGGTCATTCACCTGGAAGCTGAGGTACATTATTTGTTACAAACATATTAAGTCTTTTAAAAAAATAATATAATAAAAATAAAACAATATAAATGTAATCTAATTCATTATATATCACTGTTTTGTTGAAATAAACATTATTTTTCTTTTTGATAATCAGTATACTCTTTAATTGTATAGACATAGTTATACAGCAGAAAAGATTTTACTTTTAACTTAAATTTGTGAACTCACTTTAATTGTTTAATGTTGTCTGGCAGTGCGTTGTAAAGTCACGTACATGTATTGTATGTGGATTTGTGATAGTGAGCTGTTGATACTGACTCTTGATGAACATGATTTTTACAATGTGTGTTGTAATTATAAATATCAGTATTGCATGAAACAGTGTTTCCACAGTTAAGTAAGTGAGTTGTGACAAATGTTACAGATTCGTAAATATATAGGCAAGGCAGTGGTAAGATTCCAAGCTCAATGAAGAGAGGATTGCAAGGGTAACGTGGATGGCATTTTTTCATTATTTGAATAATTTTCTTTTGCAATCTAAAGGTCTGAATATTACATGATAAATTTCACCAGAATTTTATACTGTATATCAGGCAGGAATGAACATTTGCAAACTACACGCAACGAGCTGCATGAGTGATGTGAGTTAACTTCAGAGTTAATTTTGTGGTTTTGTCCCTTTGTGAGTTCAGCCGCAATTCTTAGAAAAGTGTTCGTTGAAGAGATTAGCCACTTTTTCCATATTACTTGCTTCTCTTCCAGTATCCTTTAAAACAACATTCTCTACAAAATATCGAGATGATGTCAAGTTGTACTTTTTTATGATATTCCACATTGCTTTAGTTTTGTTACTTGTGTTCAAAATATCCTGATTATTTTTCATTACTTTTGTCTGAACTATTACTTTCCTTAAAATATTTTTGTATTTTCGGAAATAGAGATGGAAACCGGATAATCTTTAGAAAATGAATGATATGATCTTTAGAAATGAAATAATGCGCATTGTTTTTACACAATGTTTTAATTCTTTGTGTGATCCAAGTATTATTTTACTGTGAAATGTTTAATTTTCACTTTTTGTGAGAAAGTTAAAGGATGAAAGTTGGAGGAGCTTTAAAGTGAAATGAAAGCTTTGAGAAAAATGTATAATATTTTTATTTGTGTCAATAGTGTTGTTAACTGTGTTCATTATTCCTTCAGCAAGTAGTCTGTAAATAATTCATGTTAATTGTAATTTTGTTTGGGGTTTGTTTCCCTATTTGGAAGTGAAAGGCTTGAGTGACTGAAGGCATGGCAAAACGTAAGGGTGGATTGTTTGATGCGAGTAGTACTGGGGGTATGCCAAGTTCGTGATGAAGATCATTGGGTATGAACCAAAGTGCTTACATTGTGGACCTTAGGAAACAGTTTTGGAAGGTCTGTAGTCTATGTATAAGGGATTTGGGCGCTGAACCGCAGATAGGACTTACAACGCGGTATGTTAGCATTGGTTTGGTCATATCTTTGTAGAGATGGGTACCGGCGTGGGTTTGGGAGAGAGAAGACGTATAAGGCTAGGGCTCAATGATGGATGTGGAGATTCCAGGTGAAGCGGCAATCAAGGAGGGCTAGTTATATCGGGGGGTGAGTACTAGAGGGCAACCGCCAATGAATATTACGTAACCATGTGGAGTTTTTAAATAATGAACGCATAATGTAGGATGACACGTTACACGGTTTATTGAAGAAAAACAATTAAAAGATATGTTCACAATAAATTTGTTAAAATACTGCAAGCACATAGAACCTTCTGACACCGAACATTTCTCAAATCTGAAGATCCAGATGATTCTTTCCTTCAATATTGAAGATTTTCTCCTAATATTCTATATATGAATATTGTTGACAATTGCCGACCAAATTACTTCAAATTTGGCGTCTTCTC